CGGCATCTTTAGCCATATCAAACGCTGAAACTGATGTCGGTTCGTCCAGGGAACTAGACACAGTTGAATGCCAGTCTCTTAGGCGAGAAAAAGACCAGCCGAAGCGAACTCAGATAACAAAGAAACATTACAGCAAAACAACGCGCACCTCTATACGGTCCAAAAAAACGAAGGCCGCCTACGTACACACAGACCAGAGAAGGAGAACGACCAGGAGGCCTACGAAGGACCGCCAGAGGCTCCCAGATATGTTTAACAATAAAGATATCGGAACACCTTGTGGATCGAATATTCAGGAGAAGGTTTCGAAAGAAACTGAGGTAAACTTTTTCGACGAACACCTCGGAAACACAGAAGGATGGGTTATTAACAGGAAGATAAATGAATCGTACACGGATCTCAGTTTCGTTAGCCCAATAGCTAGTTCATCCGAAACCAGCGAAACTAGTAAACTGGAGAAGAACGCTCAGTCACTCAAAAGATCTGTGACAACAGCGAGCACTAGGTTCAGTCGCCAGCAAAATGTAGTTATAAAAGGAGTACCCGAATCAACGGCAGCAGTACCAAAGGAGAGAGTTAAGCATGACTTAGACCTTCTTCAAGTGTATGCGAAAACTTTGTTAAGAGACGATGAGTCACTAAGTGTTCTCAAAGCATTCCGAATAGGCAAGAGTCAGTCAGCATCCGGTTCCAATTCCCGGCCTCGACCCCTAAAAGTCATTTTGGAGACTGAAGCACAGGCCCAGCTTCTGTTACAGAGAAAATCATCTCTACGGGGTCAGCATCCTGAAGTTTTTTTTTCAGCCGGATTACGAGCCAAAAGAGCGAATGAAAATGAGAGAGCTGATGACGGAGCTGGAAAAGCGGAGAAACAGCGGCGAAACACACCTACAAATCAAGAATGGACAAATAATTCAGGTCAAACGGACATTTCTCTGGCCGAAGGCCGTCATTCTGACAGCCTAACCGATGCAAACGTGCCAACTCCTGAGGCTGCTCGAACCAGTGGCCGCTGTCTAGAAATCTACTAAACTAACTGTCAGAGTCTTCTCAACAAGCTAGATGAACTCAGATTACTAGTTTCTGAACAGAAGCCACACATAATTGTCCTAACAGAGACATGGTTGACTGAGGAAATTAGTAGTAGCGAAGTCAGAATTGAAGGCTACCAAC